GAGCCCTGCTCTGTCATTGTGGACATCTGATTAGAGTCTGTATATGGCTTTGAAAAGTCAGAGTATGGCTTTATTCTTTGTTCAGTGTGTCCCTCATCATTTCTGATTTCTCCAGTGAAGTGACATATGTCGCTTTCCATCTTAACTCCATTAGTCAGTCCTGTGTCTCTGTGCTTGTTATGGTCAGATACTTCATTTTGTCCATGGCAGGGTGAAGACTCCATTTCTCCATTTGTTTTCATCTCCCCTCTGTGCTCTTCATCCTCACTGCTGTCCTCCTCCTGATCTGAAGTGCTACGTCTGGCTTGCTTCATTTTTGGCCCTCCATTTTGGAGAGGCCTCCTATCCCGGCGGTTTGGGCCCCTCCTTGCCATCCTGTCTGCAGACCTAGGCCTCCCAACCCCTCTCTGTTGTCACAGAAAGATAAATATTATGAAACAACAGACCCTTTAAAAATGTGTAAACAATTCTAAATTCTCTAATGGAGAATCATCAAGCGGGGTTTGGCAAATGATAACCACTCAGATATATTTACATGATATCAGTATTATATAGTATTTTGAAGGGTCTGTAAATGGTGTTACATTCTTCATTATGTGCCATCATTTATGATGTATAGATATGACTTACTTCTTTAATAAAAGGTTTCACGTGTATTCCCTTTACTGTCTGGACAACTCCGTCATAAAATTTCACTGTGTAAGAACCTTTCAAATAGACAAAAATAGAATTTATCATAATTGCAAAGCGTATTACTTTATAATTCAGTTTTTGAACAAAAAACACATTAGAGTGAAGCGTCTCACCATCTTTGTTGACAGATGTAACCTTGGCAGGATAGAAACGGCAATCGGACCAGCTAGCAAGAACCTTGTCATTCACATGAAATCCCTGGAAACAACATGTGGTGTTTGCTTAAACATGTCCTTAAAGTCACAATTTGTAAGTTTATTTGATTTAATTTATCAGTAAATGGATGATGTAAAACCTATAAAATCAGATCTATCTATGTGACAGTATCACAGCAGAGATCATACTGTGGGTTCTAAGACAAAACCTGTGATTCACTATAAGCCATATTTCCACAGGGGCTAAATAGGTACACTTAATGTTTCCACTGCGTAAAGTGATCCGTGTCGCCCCGTTTTAGGGGTCCCAAGGGGATCTGGCACAGTTAATACCTGAGACTAGGCATGCCTCCATACAGTCATTGGAGGACCAGCAGCACGCCAGTAGTGGTGCATGCATGGCAAAACAGTGTTAACGGATGGATAAACAATCATCAGTAACATGTATCAGGATGTCACATGTTTGGGACCATAAAATCCCATCATCTCGCACTGCATGGCCTATGTCATGTCATTGTGTGTGTCTTCCTAGACCTGTGTCATGCCCAAAGTGGCCTGGGCCAATTGTAATGGAAATGCTCCCTTAACAAGCCCACACCATGGTGGTCCCAAGAAAACTGTGTCAATAGAGGCTATAGTCTCCCTTGCCATTATTATGGAACACTGATGAACAGTAAAAGCCATCATGCAGTCAAAGAAACATGTGCATGCTTATAGAACCTTGAATTTGACATTTTTAGAAACCTTGAGTGTAGAAATTGTGATTAATTGATTAATCTGATTCATTGAACAGTGCCAGTTCTTTTCATCCAAGTTTCATCTATATCCAATTCCAGTACAGGAGGAAAGGAATTACTTACAGGCATAGAAATGTCGTCATTCAGGCCCTGACGCCTTAGCTGGACCCTCTCTACCGGACGCAAATAAGGGCTAGTCCAGTCAAACCACTCATCATAACGATGGCTCCACTGGCGATAATGGATAAGCACTTTTTCATCTTCATAATCAATCTTTTCTATGTTTGCAGCATACCTATAAAAGGGGAACAAACGTGAAAAACGCAAACAACTCAATACAGGGTAACTACAGGATCAAGAAGTGTTATGCAAAGAAGACAAAAATGAAAATGATGAAGACAAGCGAAAGAGGCCATGACTCACCAGTTTTTGAGGCTGTCTCTAGCCTCTAGTTGAGCCCCCACCTCAAAAGTTATGCCTCTTCTGTTAGGGGGTGTCTTATTCATACTGGCCACATCAGTATGATTACTGCTTCCTGTTCACACACACACATACAAAGACACATATGGTGGTCAACATGACTGTTCACTGCAGCCTTGTCTTAAGTGTGCTCTGGGGTTAGACAATAAAAAGATTAAAGTTAAAACATACATAGTAAGAAATGACAGTGCTAGTTTTAAATTTTGTTCAGTTATTAGGGGGGGGGAAAAATCATCCAGTCATAACCAGAGCTTAGACTTGCAAATATACGTCAGTTTAAATGACAAAAACTGAATCAAAGATTTAATTAATGTAGTCACTGTCCATTGACTAAATGTTAGAAAACTACCAATAAAAAAGAACATGTTCAAGCAAAAGGACTAAGGAATTTTGTCAACTCTATTTATATTTCCCCATTTTTTCCCCACATCTGACCATTTTCTGAAATTCCCATTTAGAACATAATGGGTGAGCCATGCCTCAGATGGTGATGGAATGTGCAACCCATATGAAATAAAGAAGCATAGCAGCCTATAGAGCAGTAATAGTTTTAAGTTGGCCAATAATGGAAAGGTAAACAGTAGCTTTTGCTCGTATTAACAGTATCATTAATCATTCTTCTCCCTTCGTGTACTGTATAAAAAACACTAGACAAGCTGGACATTGATGAGCAGTAGGTAATCTGAATAACAGCGCCTCCTTTGTCCGACTTTCAGAGCTCACGCAGCTTGGGGACAAATTACGCCACCCGTGCAACCGCGATCTTATTCCGTTAACATTATGTCTAAGACGCATATTAAGGATGCCGTAAAAGCATCGTCTTGCACTGAGAACATTCTTTGTCCTTAAGAAAATACATAATTTACGTATTTAACAGGATCTTGACTAACCCGGATATGCCGCTACTCGGCCCACGTGTTCTTGGGCCAGTTTATTCACATGCAGACACAATGGGACACAATGGTAACTGCACCACTAAATTCCACTTTTTTGATATCAATTAAGCAGAACAGAAGTTAAAGATAAGAAAAACACCAACGGGCGAAAATTTTTATCAAAAATGATTTATCCGTCAAGGACATTTTTCAGGATTCCAGGCAACGGAAATACTTTGGTGCAGATTTTTTTTAACAATAAGGTTGCAGTAAATGTGATCACGGACGTGTTGCTTTACTGTAAAGTGAGTGTGAAAATGTGATATTTATTATTGTAGCAGACAATTTTTCGGAGTTGCTCGAAATTTTCTTAAAATAACTAATTTCTGTTCCCGTCTTTTCCGCAATATTGTTATTAAGTTGCGTTAGTGTATTATCGACATTGTGCATATATCCGTAGTATGGTCTGTTATTTCCACAACCTCACACATTGTCCGGTGTTTTGTAACTCGTAGGCGTAGCGCGACATAAACTGCTCTGACGTATGCCGTATACACATTGATGATTGGTGTAGAAGTGTTCTTGTGGGCGGGCTGCCCGCAGGTTATTGGCTCACACAGATGTCACTCTCAAGGCTCAGTTCGCGGCCTCGCGGAGGGCCTAGTTCCTCAGACTTTTCCTACTGAGAACGCAGAGAACGTGCGGCGTGGAAATAAAGAGAACAACTTCCAAGTCCGACATTTTAGATATTTCACAAATTCTAGACCGAACCAAAGGGCGAGCTCTCACAAATAATCGCATTTACACAAAATACGTCAACATACGATCAGAGCCAAGCCTGAACTACTTCGTCACGTTTGTTTTCAACTCATAATGCCTACATGCGGCATCAAACGGCCCTAATTCGCGATGTTGTTACAATTCAGTGTTAATAGCGAGGTGGAAGACTGCTCCCCATTCTTACCTTGTCTCCAGGTGCTCTGTGTCGGGTTAAATCCAATATATGCAAGGTAATTCCCTTTAAAAGCCCAGATGCCGCTTCTTCTGCCTGCGTCTGCTCCAGATCACGCAGTTGAATTTCTCCCCACTGCTCCACACACCGGCGCGGGCTGAGAGACTCACTCTGCGCATGTGCGCACTTCTAGCCAATGCAACATTAGACATTAAAAAAGTCAAGCGGCAATAATAATTATATAGATTCTAGCATAATAATACATTATTAGAGTATGTAGACTATAGAGAAACCAAAACGATGCATTTTAAAACATAAAGCCTTAGAAACAAATAGCTGCTTCTTTAAATATTTTATGTGAACTTTTTTGTGGCCATACCGCCTTTTCATAGTCTGATCTCCTCAGATCTCAAGCAAAGCAAGGCTTGACCTGGTTAGTTCTTGGATGAGAGACCACTGGGAATACCAGGTGCCACAGTGGGGCGCCAGTGGCAAAAACTGTCGTTGTGTCTTCAGGCAAGACACTTACCGTACATTACCTAGTAAGAAAGTAGAGTGTGCGTGAGTATCGGTGGTGGTTGCTCAGATTGGCAGCCTTGCTTCCATCAGTCTGCCCCAGCGCAGCTGTGGCTACAATGGTAGTTTGCCACCTGAATGTGGATGAATGAATAATAAACTGTAAAGCACTTTGGGCGCCGTGAAACGCGCTATATAAATGCAATGATCTTTTTTTTAATGTATTATTAACTAACACTTAATTTACAAAATGAACATGCAAGATGGTTTACAGCATACTACAAAAAGGGGTCTCTTGTGTAGGCTATTTTTGAATATCACAAACCTGCAGTAGTATCACGACGTCTCCAATAGATGTCGCCATTCACTTTGAAGTCCTGGTAGAACGCTCATTACACAATTTGTAATATGAAAAATACAGGTACACTAAAGTAGAATAACAAAGGCAGAACGATGCCGATGACTACATACATCATTCACTCTCTGCATTAGTGTAGTCGAGAAGTGTATTAAAATGTAAATAAGGAGAAGTACTCAAATACTCTTTAACAAGCATAACAGAATAATTCATAGGTCAAAATACAACCAAAGATACAATTAAACAAATCTTTATTTGTGACCAGTCATCCAATATTTTAACAAGTTACGCACACATATTTGCACACATGACAAGTGGTCTGAATCAGTCTTAGGCTGAAAGTTAGAAGTTTACAGCAGACAACAAAGAAAAAGTTTAATTATTGCTTCTTAAGGAAAACCACTCTTTAACATTAAAATAGAGGTAATACTATTTACAAGCTCAACATATTTACATACCCAAAGCCTGAGTTACAAGACATGTGAGGGGTTATATTCTTACTATAGTGCTCTGTTTGTGATCCACAAATTTGATCTGTATGGAAGGGCAAACTCGGGTTCTGGACACTTGCATCAAACAGCAGAAGGATGCAACATTTAATTTGGAAACTATGAGAATTGTTAAGACTCTCCAAGACTTGCTTAAGCTAATAAGGTATTATCTTCAACATCTGTACATCTTCAATTTGGCACTTTGAAATGTAGGCTCGGTCATCATAACCATTTTCTTGGTCTACATGGTAAATAAAGTATAAAGGCCAGGCTATCAACAGGGCAACTGAAAACATCACAGGCAAGCAATTATTAAGACACCATTATTCTGACTCTTGTTCTTGTCATATTTCAATCTCTAAACATATTAATAAGAAAATTAATAACTTGCACACATAACACACTTAATAATCAGCACTGCTGTTACACATTGTCTTATTGTCCTGTGCAAAGTTCAGAAGTAAATACTGTAAGACTGTTTAACTGATGCCCCAACCAGTCGATTGGAAGTGACAGAAAATGTTTTTTTTTTTTTTTACCTGGAGCGATTGGAAAAAAAACAAACACTTCTAGTACAATTCATGTTTTTTTATATACCCCAAAGACAATGTTATCCAGTTCAAAATGTAGTTGTTTATGAAAAATAATTTCCAGTGTGTTCTGAAGGACAGTGCTTACGTTAAGTGTCATCACAGATTCAAATGTATCATTATGGATATCAGATGCAGGTACAGCAACAGCAGATTTAGTTGTTGTTTTTTTTTTGTTTTTTTTTGTCTACACCACTCCTTCAATGAAGCTAGTGTCCAGATGAACAATGAGCATTCTCAGGAAAGCCATCTCTTTGCGTGTATTCTCAAAGATGATCCGAGGGTCGTCTGACTGACATCGCAGACAGTTGGGGGCCATAACCATGGCCAAGTTGTTAACATCCATTTTAGTGACCGCGACATTTGTTGGCTGTGCAAAAACCTACACAGAACAAAAAAGAATCAATGCAAGTGTAGTGGTCTCTACATTTTACTCATTGAGGAGCGAGCACAATGCAATATAAAAACATTCAATTAGACCAAAAAAATAAATAAATAGACGTGGGGTAAAAATAACAGGAAACTCTGTAAACTCTTTAAAATCCAGCACAGTTTCAATATGGATATGTTGTATCCATATGTAGTAAATACCCTTCTTTAAATAGTTATTGGAGAGAAAAAAACAAACTATTTACATATAAATAACTAATAACATCTAACGTTATCATTTTAAAAATACCGGTACTTTGCATTGATTAAATGAGTTTATAGGCAGACAATTTGTTAATTAATCTGTTGTTAATATGTGACTTTATAATATAATTATAATTATATAATTATAATATAAAAATATAATTCTTTACAATTAAGTTGCAATTACCAAGGCAAAATAAAGGTTACCTGAAGGAAGTGGATAAAGTAACAGAGGACAAGCCTGTTGAGTTCAGGCAAAGACTGGACCACAGCAATGGCAGCTACTGGGTCATCACAGTTACTGATGCACTGCTTGTAAAAGTCCATTGGGACGAGTGGCTCCTCCAGCTCACGATACCACAGCTTCATTAATGAGGCTAGGCCAGAGAAAGAAAAAATCTAATATTACGGAACAGACAAAAACAATAAAGTAAAATACATAAAATGTACTCTATTCTCACCAGGTACATTAGGGTCAGAAAGATTCTCTGGAATCCTCCACTGATCTACCTGAAGCTTCAGTGCATTCACCTCATCAATGTCTCCTGGCACTCTGTTGATGACACAGATCAAGTTAGTTACTCACAGCAACCACTAGAGGGACCTATGCTCCCGTGTTTATCTCTTGAGGTGAGGCAATAACACACCCAGTTGAATATTTGAATGTTACCTCATTGCTAAATGTACAAGCCTTTGTATTTGCATGATAGAATGTGAAACCAAAAACAACAATGTACACTATTTGGAAAGTACCAAAGTTAAAAATAGTTCTAAAAAGACTAAAATATATACAGTATATCTTATAGTCCCAAGTAAATAGCAGACGTGTTCTGGTATCCTCTGATCTGTGCACACGGGAGGAAAACTAGAAAAACATGGATTCACTACACCACACATGTATTTAGGTTCAATATGCAAGCAATAAGTAAGCAACAGTACTATGCTCTCATTGTGAACATGTCCAGGCTTGTCTTGGGTATGAGCGCCCAAGTTTGTCATAGACACAGACTATCATAGTTTTTTGAGGGGTTTTAATCTTCAGTTGTATTACTGTATTGAACGTCCTTGTATGTTGAATTTGCTTAAATGTTAAATGTAAACTGTGTAAATGTAAAAGAATAATTATTATTTGGGTGGAGGGACGGGCATCTTACCTGAAGATGCCCTCTGTTTGAGCCCCGCCCAGCCCCAGCACATACTGGGAGAGTTGTACTTGCACCCATGGCAGTTTCCTATCTGGGAACAGTTCACTCTGCCTCTCCATAACTTCTTCAAGGGAGCTGCCAAACAATGAGGGGGTGACTATGGCCCGTCTGCTGTGGTCAATCTCCTCTAAAGTAGGCTTCCGAAGACCCTGAAAGGGAAACACAGTGAGATTAAATGTGTTTTATAACCGTGACTATGAGACTAATAACATGTCTTTAAGAACACCTGGAATAGCTACTGACAGTATACCTACATCTGTAATGACGTCTTTTTCTCGATGCTGAAGACTTCATGACTCATAGTATCATTACAAGTTACCGACCTATAATTTAAAATGAAAACCCTTGATAAGGAAAAGAGCCTACCTTCTTCCCACCCGTGATGGCCACCTTCTGAAGTTTCCGGTGACAAAACTTGGCATAAGTGCTAATAGGCAGACCTACAAACAAAATACAAAATCTTTCTAACACAAAGATAAAAATACAATTACAAATTATTGATTTGTTATTTCAAGTGACGCCTAACATTAACCACTACTGAGAATTACACATATTGTTTGACAACTCTGCAAAAACACTTGAGTAAAGCTTTTAAGCAGGAGGCATTAGAGGACAGCCAAAACAATAAATGATTCACATTCTTCCACATAAATATGACAAGTAGTTTGTTTTTTCCCCAGACATGTTGAATGGCGCATTAGAGGCAGTGGGCTGTAATAGGAGAATCATGTTGACAGTGTTGTTCTAGCATATGGGGGATTACACCGGACAGGGCTAAACTGTCAAGCCTAGAGGAAGATTTATGCCTCTGAACAAAAGCTTGAGACAGGATAGAGCCTACACATCCTCCCCTTTAGTGATTCATCAGCATGTATAGACTTAAGAGGCTTCTGGAGAAATGAGTTGTCTGCTACTACCTGTACTTATCACCTGTATCTGACATCTCTATTATGCAAGTTCCAGCTGCTCATGTATTTTAAGCTTCTGATTAGTAAGGAAAAATAGTCACTTTATTTGGCAATATTTCTTACAAGGGAAAACATGAAATCACATGAACATTAAAACTGTTAAAAGTGGGGTAACCGGTTTCATTTTTCTATATTAATATTTTTAAAAGCAGGGCCTAAATTGTGACAAAGCTCTGCAAGAACCATATTTCTATAAGATGCTGATATCTATAAAACTGCTCCAAATCTCACCCTGACTGCAATCACTTCTAATTTCGAGACACACCCTTAATGTTGAACAGACTTCCCCTGTGGCTCCCAGTGAAAATATGTAGTTAGAGAGAATTTCCCCATTAGCAGTCTACCAAAACAGGACAGGTGGCAAGAACTTAAGTTGACAGCAACCCATAAACAGATTCAAAGATGGTTTTCTTCAGTTTGAGTGGATGTTTATGGAAAAGAACTATGATCATCTGACACCTTGTTTTTGAATGCCATTATGACTCAAGGATGTCCCTAGTAATCACATGCACTAATAATTAAAACTTTTATGAATCTGTGAGAAGTTTGTGCAAAGTAGTCTAGTAGTCCTCAGTGAACACTTTCCCATTTTTTGACCTCTTAGTCAGTCTGGAATGTTTTGCCTTAGATCTGAGTCACTCTAGTACAATGTGTGCCATCTGTAGTGAGTTGCCTGGCTTTCTCTCTGGTGAACTCATAACCAAAGAGGCCATGTGGGTTTTCCTAATGCAGGCACGTGCTGATGACTCCGCTTATGGTTCTTTGGCATGAGTAAGAAGAAAGACCACTGATGTGAGTCACAGACAGACTGGACCTTTGTGTCCATGGGCCTCTGAGATTCTCATCCTACTTGTTTTTCAGTCCACACTTCTGTGAAAGCTATTCATTGAATGTCCAAGTACAAACTGCGTGCCTCAGACTTTTCCATCTTACTTTGGGAGCACAGTCAACAGGGAGCAATACATTTGAGCTGTAATGGTTTGTACGGTAAGAGTAGAAAACCATCTTTGGGGCACCTAGGTCTACAAACTTCCTGCTCTGTCTAACAGATAACCTTGTACATGTACATTTTGCTGAATTAATTATATTTAAGGCAAGTTTGCCAAAAGATTTACCTTCTTCCTCATCATCTGTGCTCTGTTTCCTCTTCTTTCTGGACTTTGAGTTCTTCTTCAGCTTCAGATCCTGTTGATCCAGGATGAACTGAGTCACTATAAAACAAAAGGACAAAGTTATACTTCTGAAAGGATGAAGAGAAGCATATTAACCTGTGCGTGCAAAAGGGTTAGCCTTCTAATTTAAAATTATGGTTCTTATTCATGCAAAGCAAAAGAAGTCAATTTGTTAAAAAAAAACAACAAACCGTGCTCGGACATATTCTTATCCTTGTTCTTTAAATGTTGATACTTGAAATAAAAATTTAATCCACTGAGTAACTGTGGCAAAGTTCCACAAGCTCTTTTGTTAAATAGTCATGAGCTGCCTTCAAAATCCAAATCCAAATCAGTTAAGTATTCAGGACATTTACCCATAAAATGGTTATTAGTATTAGTATAAATATTTTCCAACACAGTATAGCCTAGCCACTTCTCTTAGTGTATGGTGTGTCACACTTGATTTTTAGTAAACACTCTTGGCCTTAGTTTGAAGAGATATAAAAGGTGACCCACCGTGTTGCTCAATGTGAGACTCACATTTCTTGTCGCTAGCGGGCTCCGTGTGTCTCTGGATGTAGCCCTCCAGGTAACAGCGGAACTTGGGGGACGGAGCAAAGAAGGCCAAGCTGACCGCCATCAGTTCCCAACCTGCTGCTAGACTCCTGGGGCTTGCATTCCCTGTGGTCTGCCTCACCAGCTGCACATAGAGCTCATCCCTGAGCCCAGGCAGGTCCCAGCACTTTGTGACAATCAGCAGAGCACAGTGTCTTCGATCCAGGCGCGATGGCCTGTCACCCATGAAGGCCTGGACCAGTTTGAACATTTCACAAGCTTCTTTACGAACAGTGCGGTTACTGGTGACAAGCATAGGCTTCTTGATGGAGCCTCTGTTCCAGGAGAGCATGTTGGCGATGGACACACGTCTCCGAAACAGGCCTTGGGTGTGCATATTGAGGTGCTTGCTGGCCCAGTCCTCCATGCCCATCTCTGGAGGTGGAGGTTGTCGCAAGGTGGCGTAGGCGAGCTGGTAGGACATCCCAACTCCTCTACTTCCATCAGAGTCCGCTCCCTCTCTCCCCTCTGTGCGGTGAGGGCCTAAGGAAGCAGTGCGTCCATCTACCATGCCTTTCTTGTGACTGTCCAGTGAAGTTGGGAGCTCTAGAGTTCCCGCCTACATAAAGAAAACATGATGATATTAGACTGGAAAATACAAACAAAGCGGATCATCACTTTGATAAGGTAAATGTATAGTAGTGGCACAAGACTGCGTCAAGTCTACTGTGTGTGTTGAGCTCAGCTCCAACTAACATATATTTGCCCAAATACCCATTATAGAATTCCACATGAAATCACTTTGATTGTTTAGTCTTCTGAATGCTAATGATGCAATTAACACTAGATACAAAATATGATAACATTTACTAGACCCTAGAATGACCTCAACACTACCCTGCCTGCTATGCAAATCTATGGATCCCTTGCTCCAGACAAGATTTCATTGTGCTCCCTGCAGCGGACTTTATGGCTGTAAAGAGCACCTCAGCGCCTACAAAACCAGAAATACAGTAACTGTGATAAGCCAGACAAATAGCCAGGAATAACATAAACCTGAGCCAGATTCTACACTCTTAATTTACTGAGGGAACATAAAAAGCATTGACATGTCTGTTCAATGAGGCCCTGATGTAATACAGAGCAGATGAGTGCCAGACATGCTGGACACAATATGGTTTCTCAATCAAATGGAGAGCCAGTGTTTGGCTCTGTACTATTTACAATCAAACAGACCCTGTTTTTACAAGCAGACATTTCAAGCCCTTTAGACAGGGGAATCATGTCTAAATATGGAATTTTTTATGGTGAAATGAGATTTGTTCTATACAGTAGAATGTCCAAGTATGCACAACTACTCCTAATGTGCTTCTCTGATGTAACTGGGGGTCTGAGGAACATTCCTGCAGACTTAGGGGGCCCACTCCAGACTCTACTGTTGTTGACCAACACGTGATGGCTACAGCAGAACCAATAATCTTGTGCAATCCTGCCGCTACATCAATCTGCCAATCCTGAGCCATATGGGACACAGCGGTCCTCCTTCCTGACCTACGGAAATCATGTCCTGAGACTCAAAGCTTTGGCATAGACCCCAGATGCCCAAGAGCTTCTCTGGCACAAGAGAGTACAGCACCTACAGCGTGGCACAGATGGATATTGGTACGAGGATGATAGATAATGCTAGAACTGTAAATAACATATGACAATTTTTGTTTTTATTTTTGCAGAGGACCTCCTATCTGGTTTCAAGCAACAATACTTAGGAGAATGTTTACCATAAAAAACTGCAGCAAGGGTGTTCTGCTACAAAAGGAGATTAAAAGATTTGAAAGGTGTCAGGGTTGGCAAAATGGCAACATACGCTTATTTACATTATTACACGCGTATTAAATTTACAACTTGTAAATCCATAATGTCTGTTAAAAACAAGGCTCAATTTAGAGCCAGGCTATTGTAACTATGCAATAGCTAGAGATATCCCATTTCCCTTTTTTACTAAACTATCAAAATGGTAGTAAAAAAAGAAAAAAGGTTACCCCCACTAAGTGTGGAAGATGCTGTATGAGTTGGTAATAATATTTCACAGTACTAGCATAGGTCAGATAAATTACAAAAGGGAACTAGAAACGTGTGATAGTGTCGACTGTATTAATACTGGTGCTATTCATGTTACATTTTATAATAAATCGATGGAGAGTTTCACAAAATAAACATGTTCTGCTTTCGCAATTTATTAATTATATTCTAAATTGAGCCCTTAGCAAACTAGACCACATTAAACTAAAAACATGTTAAGGAGAAAATCTTGCATGCATTCTCTTTTTTTTTTAAACTTCTCTCCACCTTGTTTGGGCAACAAGGTTATTGAGTACCAACACCCTTACCAGAAAGTAATTTAATAAATATGAATTAATCAAGTGTGCTATGTGTACAACAAGTAGATCTGCCTTTATCAGTTGTGTCTTGTAGAGTACAATTTTCTCTGGTATGTTAGGTTCACCTGAGAAGGTGGTCCTGGGGTCTCAGGGGAAGATAGACTGGCCTGGCTGGTCACACTCATCTCCAGTGTGTCCACTTTCTCATAGGTTCTCTTCTGTCTCCCGGACATCTCCAAAGGGCTCAGAGCAGGGTTTGCTCTGCCCAGAGATCGGCCTGCTGAAGAGAGATCCTCTCGTGATGAGGACCTTCCTGACCCCCCTGTTCCCCCTCCGAACCACCGGAGAGAGTTAGCAGGGGAGCGTGTGCGTGGCATCACTCCTCTGTCCACCATGTCCTGGTTGTCCAGTCCAGCCCGCACCTCTCTCATGGTGTTGGAGCGACTGACAACCTCCCTCATCTCTGCCATCAGCTTCTCATGTGTACATAGTTCACCAGTGCTGCCCACTGACCCGGGTCTGCCTCCAGCACCTGCCCCAGGTCCAACTCTCCTGCGACTTTTCCTCCTCAGACTGGGAGAAGGTCCAGTTGAGTAGCCTGAGTCCTGGTAGTTGGCTATGGGCTGAGGTGTTGATGGAGGGAAGTCCTGAGAGGCCTGGCTACTCTGGCGACTATGGCGAGCCTCCATGGCACGCTGCACTGTAGCCTCCAGAACTTTCCAGTTCTGTTTTTTGTCCAGTGTATTAGGGGCCTGCCCGGCCTCTCGTTCTCGCACCTGTCCTCTAGCCTGGGGATGGGGCTGGGGCAACACAGGGTCATGTCTACAGGTAGGGGAAGGAGTACGGGTGGGTACAGGAGAGCTGGTTACAGGGCCTTGCTTTGGGTCTATATTGACCATGTGTTTGATGCACTCCAGTCCGGCTGGGCTATAGTCTGAGGAGGAGGGGTTCCTTCGGTGTCTGGACCCGGGAGTTGGATGTTGGAGGAACCTGGGTTTTTGTAGGCTATGAGTAGGTGTCAGACGGGACAATTGCTGTCCATTGTACAGATGAGCCCCCTCTATCTCCATGTCCATGGGAGGTTCGTCATAAATGGGACATTCAGTCACTGGTTCATCATAGATTGGGGTGGTGTAACCGTACTGAGGTGAAACAGGCCTAGGGGTGCTGGTCTGAGACCGGTGCAGCCTGGGACTAGGATGACCGCCATCTGCCGCCAAACAGAAACTTCCATTGCTGGCCTTTCTCAGGTGATGGGCATGGCGTGCATCTATACCCACTTTGCCGGAGGGAGCCGTTTTATAGCCCTGCGCCGAGTGTCCCCCCTGCTTACTGCTGGAGGGGTGCATGGTGAAGGTGTTGGGTCTGCCAGGACCGCTGAGCTGCAGGAACTGCTGCTGCATGGCCTGACCTCGGCTCATGCTGTTCACTTTCACCAGCATGGCTGCCTTAGAGCCAGGTACAGGCTGCCATCTCTGAGATCCATCTCTGAAAAATGAACAACAGAAAAAATTAGTCCACAATGTATTAAGAAAAAACAGTTCTGTTGTGAAGCCCATTAAACCAATAGGCAAACAGAATCAGCATGTACATGCACTGCTAACAGACACGGCCACAGGCCATTAAAACTGCTGTCCTTGTCCCAGTGCACAGAATGACCAGGATCTATTTATTGACACGCCTGGGTGACCTTTTATGTTGCCAAATGTCGTTATCCATGAAAAAAATATGTTGGCCTTGAGCATGTTTAACTTACAAAAATCAAACATTTCTTGCTTCGAGTATGGAATTTCATTTTTTCTATTGTATTCTACAACTAACCAAGTGTGAAAAATTTGAAGAGGAAAATATTAAAATTGTATCAATTTGAAGAATTAAAGTGACTTGTGATCTGAGTAACAAATTCTTTTGAAATGGTTTAACTGACCTCAAGCTCCATTTTCAGTCTGGCAGTCATTATAGCTCTGCCACAGACACTAAGTATGTGGGCAAAACAAGGGCCTAAAAATACTAGCAAAATAAGACTTGACAATGATAAAATGTGTGACCCTGTAGTCTAAGTGAGTCATTCTGAGTGACCTCTATCCAAAAGTGACAATTACAAAGCGGTCAGTGTATATGACAGCGGTGCAGTATTTAAAACTTTAGCCATTGAAGATTATTTGCTAAGGTTCAAAAGGTTAATTCATCCTACTTTAGTGACACGAATTTCAAACCTTACAGTCCAATGCTAATCCTAGCGACACAAAACAATCTGCAATCAATCTGGTCACACTGCCTGCTCTGCAGCCCTGGACTTGGCTGCCACCTCATAATCCGCACAAATAATCAGAACAAAAACGTGCCACTTCGGATGAACAAATGTGTCACGTGAGAGAGCACATTCACTCGTTGGCTCAAAAACAGTTGGAAACTGGCCAGATTAGGACAGTCCATGTGATCCGGCCACAGTACTATGTGGGTCAACTTTTTTCTTGGAATGTATTCAAATGCCACATGGTTATTTCTGTAATTTTGTTCCTCGCTATGACAAGCAATACTCAAATCAGCAAGAAGTATTCAAACCTTGTTGTGAACTACTGTAAGGTATATATTCAATCAAGTAGCTCCACAACGAAACTTCCTGAATAAAAGTTTCAGGCAGGTAATAGGGCCAAAGCAGGCTTACCTTCCATGCACTCCTAACATTCAGTAGTGTGACAAATTGGATCGCAATTGATCACCTTCTGTTCTTGTTAAATCCAAATGTAAACACACATCAGTGCGGCTACTGCTCAAAGGCTTCCCTTATTATCCAGGAACAACTAGTCAGTGGAGAGTTGAAGGCAGTAACGGTAGGCAGGAAAAGAACGCACAGTGGTGGGAGGTAGAGAGGGAGGGGGAGGGAGAGAAAACAGACGAGCCCCTCCTCTCCACACGTCTCAAGAACAATGGTCCACAACAATTCCCCTGGGGTCTACGAGCTAACGGCTGACTTCCTTAAAATGCTGCTGGTTTAAATTGAGCTTCTGTTTGGACCTGGTTTTTACCTCTGGCCAATGGACAACTTTAAACTTAAAACTTTACAGTCAAGGTTGGTTTCCTGGTTTTAAAGCACAGCACTATATCTACTAGATAAGCTTGTATATGGAATGGATTTCAATACTAAATGTGTAATTGGCACAACTACAATTCTTTTATTAACTAGAGCCCGACCGATATGGATTTTGTTGTGACCGATATGAAACCGATATAATGGGAGTTGGAGCTGCTGATAGCCCATATAATCGCCGATATATTTAGTGATGTAAAAATTCACTGTAAATCTTGAATTGATTAAAAAACTTAGGTTTGGCTCTAGTGGATTCTAAATTGGGTTTATTTAGGCAACATTTATTGTTATTTTGACTCTTTACATCATATTTACATACAGTAGATTGGCCTAATGGCATTTTTGCATCACATTCTAGCTACTGTTACTGTCACTGCTAGTGATGGGTATTCCAGTTTTTTTTTTTTTTTTTGGAGAACCGGCTCGGCTCACTAAAGCAACTGGCTCTTTCGGCTCCCAAGTGACTCTTGAGATGGTTTTGTTGCAAGCAGGACTAAACCAGAACTGAACCAGGACTGAGTGTCGGGACTCGGTTTCTATCTCTCTCAAGCCCAAGATTAGTCCTGGTTTATTCATTTTATGCTGAACTGCAGCCAAATATGCACTTTTTTATCCTATGCACACGCAGATTTCTGAAAGTTTCGTTTTCAGCCGCTGCTGCTGTCAAACTACGGGTCTACAAGCGGCATGAAGAGAAAAAGTGAGAAAAAGAGAAAACACGGCTCCCAATAAGAAACACGCTCCCGTTGTTCGCTTCAAAGAGTCGGCACTAAGAGCCGCTTCGATCGCGACCGACCCATCACTCCTAGCAATCCCTATTAGCCTTTAGTCGTAAAAATGTGCGCACCGCGGTAATTAATTATATGCATAAATGTGGATCATTCACAGCTCATTTACATATCAATACTGGTCCAGTAACAAATATACAGCCAATATAGTCACTTTACAATAGACCAATAGAAAACAGCCTGTTTATGTGCGGGAGCTACAGCAGCTAATCACTAACAAAACCTAAACTAGCTTCAAAGTCGATGTATTCCAACACTCACCGCTCACACAGGCTCCTCCTCACATCACAAGTCTGCACTAATAAATGTCCTTTTAATCCAGACTCAAACCGATTGTCCGAAAAAGAAAATAATCTCAGTGTTGCACACGGCTGCGGGTGTAAACAAACACACGCGAGTGAAGTGACGTCACTCTGGTGGTGTGTTCAGGGACAGTACGGACACAGACACAGACAAATTACACCGTAGATAAATACTGATGCGGAGCCACATATTAGGACATTTATCTGTCTGTAAATTGGATTAAATGAACATAATGTAGAGAGTCTAAGCTTTATAATGAGGTATAACATGCCAACGTGAAATATCGGCCCATATCAGCAAGCATATCGGCCGATAGCTGATATGTCTCCAGGTGCCCATATTGGCCGATAATATCGGCCACCCGATATATCGGTCGGGCTCTAATATTAACTACTACTACTATACTAACCACAACTACTACAGCCTTCATGTGTCTTCTAAAGCCCCTCCTGATTTTCACAAACCACTTTGCGAGGCCTTGGCACAGCACCAACACCTCCCAATCAGACGCTTTACTACAACAAATAAAGAGACAGACAGCCGCGTGTGAAGACAGGGGCCTCTGATAAGTTTGGGATGCACTGCTATTTAGTTGTTACAAGCTGGTGTGGTTAAACAAGGCTGTGTGGCTGACAGCTGTAGATGTGAGAAACCACTGTTTGTGGTGTATGCTTTGTCACTTCAACAGGATGGGACAGATTTGGAAGCGATGTGCCCACCACCACAGGCCCCTGCTAACAGTTTAACACTGGTCCGTTATGATGATGCAGGAAATGTGAAGGCGTTTCTTCAGCCATGGGACAACATAGCTGGACCGCACAAGTCAAAGCACAATAATTATGTTCCTCTTGATGTTTGTCAAGTAAATTAACGGCTGGTACACATGATCTTGTTATAACATTCTATGATATGGATCTGTTTTTTCATGGTGTGACCAATATGGTCACTAACCCTTGGAAAACAAAAGTGAGTACCATTTCCTGTCTAGGGTGATCCTACTAAAGGTCTAGGACAAGACTTCTCCATACAATAGACAAACAGGAAATGCCTATTGCAAGATTCACACAGGATGGACCGATCTGCTCAATATTTTAGCTCTTTCATGTCATATTAAAAAGGTCATAGATTTGCCAAAAGTCCAGAATGGAAGTAATACAGTTAAAGAAATTGGCACATTTGTATATATAGAACATACTGTAGTATGTGTTTTGACAGTTTTGACCAGAAGATGCCACAGTTCTACAGGAAGTGTGAGAAGGGGCAGTTATACAGCCGAGGTTGAGAAGAGGGGGGGTGTGAGTGTAAATGAGCCCGGGTGGGGATTAGTCGTGGGAGAGTGCAGCGAGAGAAAGAGCGTGGAGCCCAGCATTCCAGTCATTCAGGGGCCTCAGTCTGAGCAGTGGAGGAGCCTCACACAATGCATGGCTGTGCCATCGTCACGGCGACGCCTTCTTCAAACGGCAGCAGCAGGGGGTGGACAGATGAGCGTAAAGGCCATATACAACCTTCAGAGTCGGTCATGCAAACACATTCTTACGCAACACTCACCAGACGCATGCGCTATAATATCAATGAGAAAGTTGTTTACAAAAGGTGTGTTAGCAGCAGCCTACTCAACAGGTGTTTACTGATGTTAGCATAAGGTGGGGATAGAATAATCTTCTGTTCTAGAAGGAATATACATCACAAAACATGAAACTATCTTCGGTCACAAACCACGTCAGGTAATAATTTCCATTTAAGACATATAACCAAAGCACAATTCAAAAAATGTTTTAGTTTCTGGAATGTGCGCTAATGTACTGACAAACTCAGTCTTTCAGAGCCTAGGGCTAGCATGTGAGCACTTCAGACGATGGAGAAACCAGAAAATAAAGTTAGAGGCCTCTTTAGAAACTGCAAAGTTAATCAGATTGCCTTCTGGGGTAGCAAATTGACTTAAGGTCAGCATATTTCAATTAGTCTAGCAGCTCTCATGTCCCACACTGAACACACAGTTCTATAGGTAAGATCTGACCGCCAGTGTGGTCAGGTTGTCTCAATCAGCCGCTAAATATACTGTAGGGAAGCTCCTGTCAGCAGATGCTCTGTCTCTACTTTCTTCCCTGCCTGAAATAAGTGCATAGGAAAAGCCATCAGCTCAGTCACTTTGGTAGATATGGTTATAGATGTTCTTAAATAAACCCACTGGGAATGACAGCCTTACAAAAACAGTGCTTATTATTAACACGGCTGGACAGGAAAAGGATATGAGGTCTTCTGCTCTGAAAACACCTCCCCACCAAAGACCATTGGGGCTTGCCGTG